CATCCCTCTAATCATATGGTTCTCCTGGAAACCAGTCCCTAACCTTTGGTGCTTTCCAGAAGTCACTATGGTGAATAACAAGACACCTTTATGGATATCATCACTTTGAAAATCCCAGGGGTTTTAGGAGCTCAGTACCAGAAATGGGGACAAAGAACAAATGTATATCTTTTTGTAAATCACAGTATCACAGTAGACCTAATTCTTGGGCTCAGGCAAGGAACACAGCTGAAAAGAGGAGGAGCCAGGATTCAAAGCCATGGCTGTCCATGCACTCTTGTGCCAGCCTGCCCAGGGCACACTAACAGCCTGCTGGGAGAACTGAAGCAATACCTCAGTCTAATGATCTAATGCCACAAACGTACACTGAGAACCTAATGCGTGACAGGCATACAATGTTTGTGCAAAACGCTGAGAAGTAAAGAAAATGGAGAAGCTCCCCTTCCCTCAAAGCTGACAAGCCTTAGGGTGGCAGTTATTTAAACACTTGACGATGGTGTGATGCAATGTACACACTCAACCAGACCACGCATCTTCACTGAGCACCTTCTCGATGTTTCTAGGGACTGCGACTACGTCAGTGAACAAGACAGCATAATAACATCATGCCCACACAGAGCTGACTTTACGGTACGGGAATAGAAAAGCACAACGTGCAGTGCGAGTTGATGATAAGTGTTATGGGGAAAAACAAAGAGGGACAGATTTATAAGATGCTGGGGTCCAACCCCAGCAGGTCCAGGGGTCCCCAAAGGTGTGGACGGAGTCGGCGAAGAAGGAATGACATGGAGACAGCCTTCAGTTGATCAGCAGCCTAGTCAGGACCTCTAGCCAGGATCTCCAGCCAAAGTTCTGGTCGGAGTTCTGGTTAGGAACTGATCAGGATCTGATGTTTATTGTCTTGTTACATCTATATTTATACCAGCCGATTTTAATCCTGTCAATTTCTATTACAAAGGTTAGGGCGTTTCTTATCTCCATTCTAGGGACTGCGACTACGTCAGTGAACAAGACAGCATAATAACATCATGCCCACACAGAGCTGACTTTACGGTATGGGAATAGAAAAGCACAATGTGCAGTGCGAGTTGGTGATAAGTGTTATGGGGGAAAACAAAGAGGGACAGATTTATAAGGGAGAAGGTACCATCTTAAATATGCACCAATTTCAAATGGTCCCCATGGCTCTATTAGGATGCCGTGGGGCAAAGTGTCACAGAGAACAAGGGTGTGAGAGGACAGAGAAGTGGGAGCTGGGTGGGTCGGGGTAAGAGGGTGCGGGGTCGTGGAAAGTCTCCAGGATGAGTTGAGCGCTGAGCAAGGTGTCCCCTTCCCTTCGCTTCCTTTGCAGGAACGTGCCTCCTGACTGTCCACGCTGCAGGGCATGAGTCAGCGCTGCTGACTTCACACAGCCTTTCCAGCAAATGCCTGTGTCTCTCCACGTTGCCCAAACCTTTGAGTCGCCTCCCAATGTTACAAACTTATGTGATTATGTCAGCCTTTCCTGAGTCATGAAGGTCAATGGCAACTTTAAGGAGTTTATTTAAATTATAAAAGAAACACAATCACAGTATAAAATATGAAAAATAGACCCTGGCCGGTTAGATCAGTTGTCAAATGGAGTATTTTTCCGATACGCCAAGATTGTGGGTTCGATCTCCAGTCAGGGCACATACAAGAAACAACCAATGAATGCATAAATAAGTGCAACAAAGAGATGTTTCTCTCTTTCTCTCTCCCTTCCTCTCTCTAAAATCAACAAATAAATTTTAAAAATAAATAAAAGACTCTCCTTTTTAAAAATATAAAAAATATCAGGAAATATAAAGGTTTCCAATATTATCTCTGTTCACATTTTGGTACATTTTTTGCCAGAGTTGTTTAACATAACTAGGATCACTTTGCATCCATATAATTTTGTATCCTGCTCTCATTATTTTTACTAAATATATCATTTTTAATTCTACATATGCATTTTCTGCTTTAAAAGAATTCTTTACAGCCATGGCACGTTTGGCTCAGTGGATAGAGCATCGGCCTACAGACTAAAAGGTCCTAGGTTCAATTCCAGTAGGTCGTGTGCAGGAGGCAGCTGATCAATAATTCCCTCTCATCCTTGATGTTTCTCTCTCTCTCTCTCCCCCTCTCCCTTCCTCTCTGAAATCAATAAAAATATATTTTTTAAATTCTGCACAGACATCAATTTAATGGCTACATAATATTCTACTCTACTGATGCACTACACTTTATTAACCATTTCCCAACTGTCAAGCATTTAAATTTCCAAGTTTTCATCAATATAAATTTCCCTGCAAGTAACTTTATGCAGCAGGTATTTCAAGTAATTCCCTCAATAGATTCCAAGAAGGAGAATTGTGGGAAGCTGGGAATGCGTCAGAGCAGTCACTGCCCGGTGGGCTGCAGGCCACCCAGACTTACTCACTGCACTGGCTGCGGAGGCAGCCACAGAAGCTGGTCACCTCTAGCCACCTTTATGCTCTTGAAGGCAAATGGTTGTAGAAGCAACATATTTACCTGCTGTCAGAATCCGAGGCGATTTCCTTTCTCCCTCCGAAGCGGATCTGGCACTGCACAGAAAAAGAAGCCGCTGAGGTCAGCTGTTGGGATGGGACACTCAACTGTCACAAAACAGTCCACACAGGCCCTCAGGCTCTGCCAGGGACACGGGGCCAGAAACGCTGGGTGCCGAGTCAGTGTGTCCCTTTGTCCTGGGTGTCAGCCCAAGACATAAGACAGTGGACACCAGCCTTCCAGCCGCCACTTCAAGGAAGTCCTTATCTCCCTCCCACTTGTACAGAGTGAGCCTTGTGGGAAAACAATGCTAAGAGGAAAACAGAAGCACACAGCTTTTGCACATTATCTAGGAAACTTTATGTGTCAGCAGCTGGCTGTCCATAACACAGGGCTCTTAAGAGGCAATAATTAAAACTTCCACAAATCTGCAATGATGGTTCCCTTTTGACAGGGCCCAAGCTTGTTATGAATGACTAGAAAATTATGACGGTACAAATCACCCTTCAGCCCTGCCCAGGTGGCTCAGTTGGTTGGAGCGTTGTGCTGTACACCAAAAAATTGTGTGTTCAATTCCCGGTCAGGGCACATACTTAGGTTTCAGGTTCAATCCCTGGTCGTGGCATGTACAGGAGGCAACTGATCAATATGTCTCTCTCACATCGATGTTTCCCCCCACCCCTGCTCTCTCTTTCTCTTCCTCTCTCTAAAATCAATAAAAACATATCCTTAGGTGAGAATAAAAAAAAAAATTATGCTCCAAACAAGTCGTCTAGTTGTGCTAAGTGACAATTTTCCCAGGGTGGGTACAAACAAAAGCAAACTGTTCTCCTTTTAGGGGTTGTATCCCCTCCCTAACCTCAGGGAAAAATCCCCACCTGGGGAAACAACCTTTCTTGGAGAGGTGACCTTGGTTAAAACACATGGTGCTAAGGAGAGCAAACATATTAAGAACAATATGCTATATATGCCAGGCCTGGTGGCAGAAACAAAGATGTTTCTTTCCTGCAGCGACTGTGTCAAGCAGCAAGGATGGACCGGCTTCCGGCAATAAGGGAGAAGGTACCACCTTAAATATGCACCAGTTTCAAATGGTCCCCACGGCTCTATTAGGATGCCGTGGGGCAAAGTGTCACAGAGAACAAGGGTGTGAGAGGACAGAGGAGAGAAGTGGGAGCTGGGTGGGTTGGGGTAAGAGGGTGCGGGATGTGGAAAGTCTCCAGGATGAGATGAGCGCTGAGCAAGGCGTCCCCTTCCCTTAGCTTCCTTTGCAGGAACGTGCCTCCTGACTGTCCACGCTGCAGGGCATGAGTCAGCGCTGCTGACTTGACACAGCCTTTCCAGCAAATGCCTGTGTCTCTCCACGTTGCCCAAACCTTTGAGTCGCCTCCCAATGTTACAAACTTATGTGATTATGTCAGCCTTTCCTGAGTCATGAAGGTCAATGGCAACTTTAAGGAGTTTATTTAAATTATAAAAGAAACACAATCACAGTATAAAATATGAAAAATAGACCCTGGCCGGTTAGATCAGTTGTCAAATGGAGTATTTTTCCGATACGCCAAGATTGTGGGTTCGATCTCCAGTCAGGGCACATACAAGAAACAACCAATGAATGCATAAATAAGTGCAACAAAGAGATGTTTCTCTCTTTCTCTCTCCCTTCCTCTCTCTAAAATCAACAAATAAATTTTAAAAATAAATAAAAGACTCTCCTTTTTAAAAATATAAAAAATATCAGGAAATATAAAGGTTTCCAATATTATCTCTGTTCACATTTTGGTACATTTTTTGCCAGAGTTGTTTAACATAACTAGGATCACTTTGCATCCATATAATTTTGTATCCTGCTCTCATTATTTTTACTAAATATATCATTTTTAATTCTACATATGCATTTTCTCCTTTAAAAGAATTCTGTACAACCATGGCACGTTTGGCTCAGTGGATAGAGCATTGGCCTACAGACTAAAAGGTCCTAGGTTCAATTCCAGTAGGTGGTGTGCAGGAGGCAGCTGATCAATAATTCCCTTTCATCCTTGATGTTTCTCCCTCTCTCTCTCTCTCTCTCTCTCTCCCTCTCCCTTCCTCTCTGAAATCAATAAAAATATTTTTTTAAATTCTGCACAGACATCAATTAATGGCTACATAATATTCTACTCTACTGATGCACTACACTTTATTAACCATTTCCCAACTGTCAAGCATTTAAATTTCCAAGTTTTCATCAATATAAATTTCCCTGCAAGTAACTTTATGCAGCAGGTATTTCAAGTAATTCCCTCAATAGATTCCAAGAAGGAGAATTGTGGGAAGCTGGGAATGCGTCAGAGCAGCACTGCCCAGACGGGCTGCAGGCCACCCAGACTTACTCACTGCACTGGCTGCGGAGGCAGCCACAGGAGCTGGTCACCTCTAGCCACCTTTATGCTCTTGAAGGCAAATGGTTGTAGAAGCAACATATTTACCTGCTGTCAGAATCCGAGGCGATTTCCTTTCTCCCTCCGAAGCGGATCTGGCACTGCACAGAAAAAGAAGCCGCTGAGGTCAGCTGTTGGGATGGGACACTCAACTGTCACAAAACAGTCCACACAGGCCCTCAGGCTCTGCCAGGGACATGGGGCCAGAAACGCTGGGTGCCGAGTCAGTGTGTCCCTTTGTCCTGGGTGTCAGCCCAAGACATAAGACAGTGGACACCAGCCTTCCAGCCGCCACTTAAAGGAAGTCCTTATCTCCCTCCCACTTGTACAGAGTGAGCCTTGTGGGAAAACAATGCTAAGAGGAAAACAGAAGCACACAGCTTTTGCACATTATCTAGGAAACTTTATGTGTCAGCAGCTGGCTGTCCATAACACAGGGCTCTTAATAGGCAATAATTAAAACTTCCACAAATCTGCAATGATGGTTCCCTTTTGACAGGGCCCAAGGTTGTTATGAATGACTAGAAAATTATGACAGTACAAATCACCCTTCAGCCCTGGCCAGGTGGCTCAGTTGGTTGGAGCGTTGTGCTGTACACCAAAAAATTGTGTGTTCAATTCCCGGTCAGGGCACATACTTAGGTTTCAGGTTCAATCCCTGGTCGTGGCATGTACAGGAGGCAACTGATCAATATGTCTCTCTCACATCGATGTTTCCCCCCACCCCTGCTCTCTCTTTCTCTTCCTCTCTCTAAAATCAATAAAAACATATCCTTAGGTGAGAATAAAAAAAAAAATTATGCTCCAAACAAGTCGTCTAGTTGTGCTAAGTGACAATTTTCCCAGGGTGGGTACAAACAAAAGCAAACTGTTCTCCTTTTTTTTTTTTTAATTGCAATAAAATATAGAAAACATAAAATCACCAGTTTAACCATTTCTAGTTATACAATTCAATTCACAATATTGTGCACCCATCACCACTATCCACTCTTCTCTTTTAAAGAGTAGCAGGCTTACAAGATTCCTGAACTTATTATATATATATTTTAAATGATACATTTGTCAAAACTTATAGAACTTTGCACTCAAAATTGGTTTATCTTATTGTATGAAAATTATACCTCAATAAAGTTGATCTTTAAAAGGTATACATGTACAACACTTTCGTTCCCCCCAAATAATACCACCAATCATGGCAGATCTGGGCATAAGCTCCAATTTATTTACCCTAACCCTAACCCTAACTACTACACTTAAAGTGGTTCCACTTGCCTCCTCATTTTCTTGTCATATTTTATTTTCTTTTTTTAAATATATTTTTATTGATTTCAGAGAGAAAGGGAGAGAGAGATAGAAACAACAATGATGCAGAGAATCATTAACCGGCTGCCTCCTGCACACTCCCTACTGGGGATCAAACCCGCAACCCAGGCATGTGCCCTTGACCAGAATCAAACCCAGGACCCTTCAGTCCGCAGGCCGACGCTCTACACATGGAGCCAAACTGGCTAGTGCTTCTTGTCATATTTTCCATTTCTGGAGCAAAGAAAGAAGAAACAAATACGTGTGCTCTGAATTGACAGTGGACCAAGAGCTGGCCAGGCCTTTCCCTACTTAATAAATGCAATTCGCTCAACAGCCCTGTGGAGATCAGTGAGCAGATTACGGAGGAGGATGCCCAGAGAGGCTAGATGAATTGCCCAAGCACACACAGCTGGGAAGAAATGAAACTGGCCTTTGACTCAGCTACACTTGAGCCTGTGTTGTTTGCACTGTATCAGGACACCTCCAAGTTTGGGCAGATGGTGAAGTCTCTGAGCTCACCTAACACCTAACACAATCAACACGTAACACACACCTTTAATAAAGTGTTTATCTCCTATCTCCCTATACTGATTTCACACAGCATGTGATTGCATGCATATGATTGTCAGTCGCCCCTTCTGAAATGTGAGCTACCCAGAATTCCCAGGGCTGGATCCCAGCTCTGCTTGCTACTTATTGACTGTGACACCTTAAGCAAGTTATTGGGCCTTTCTGAGCTTCAGTTTCTTTATCCATAAAATGGAAATAATTGTAGGAACTACCTCACAGGGTGGCTGGAAGGATTAAATGTAAAGCACTTAGCAGAGAGCCCAGCACATGTTGAATGTGCAATAAATGATGCATGTGGTACATGCAGACAAACAAACTTAAGCCAGCTTATGTCAAAGCTCACTTCCCACCCAGCCAAAAACCAGGCATCAAAATAGCATCAACCAATCAGAGCAGAGCCCACCTGAAGGATCCACATCATCGATCCTGGGCATGGTTCATTCCTCCTCATCTCTGTTCTTATGCTCACAAAGTCCTAACCCAACCACCATGGTTGGTACCCATAAGAGTTGAAACCCACATCAACACCCTTCTCTAAGGGACATCCTTGAAGGATGAGGTCTCCGGAGGGCTTTAGAGAGGAACACCTCTGTCCCTACCTCTGATCGCCTTCCCTGCTCTCTCATTTTCTGGGGGAAACTACTGGCCTCACTATTCCAGATACCACATGAGAGTAAGTAAGTCTGTCTATATAGAAGGACAGAAATGACTTCCCCATGAATTATCTAACACTACTACTTGATCTCAAGGTCAAACATGAGCTTTCCTCTTACCTGTTTCACGGCATCCAGCAGTCGCTCCAGCAGAAATTGTCTTTTCATGTCATTATTCTGTGATCCTGAAATGCAACAAGGCTTAATTAGTTCTGTTTGACATTAGCCTTCTAGTAAGACTTTCTGACACACAGTACACAGCTGTCCCCAACTAGGATCAGCCTTCTCTTTAATAAAATCCGGACCGGCACCAATAATCTACATCATCACAATGAAGTTTGACCATTTCTCAGTCACTGTAACAGGGAAAACATCTAAACTATGGTCCCCAAATTTGAAGAATGTGTCTGGAGCAGTCTAACTCTGGGCTTCTCAACCTTGGCGCTACTGACATTTGGGCCAGATGGTGGAGGCTACCCTATGAATTGTAGGATGTCTAGCAGCATCCCTGGCCTCAATCCACTAAATACTATTAGTGTGCACATGCACACACATGTACACACGTGCACACCCTAGCTGTGGCAACAAAAAATGTCTCTAGCCCTGGCTGGTGTGGCTCAGTTGATTGAGTATCATCCCCCTGCATCGAAAAGTTGCCGGTTCGATTCCCAGTCAGGGAACATGCCTGGGTTGCAGCCTCAATTCCCAGCAGGGGACGTGCAGGGGGCAGCTGGTCGATGTACACCTCTCATACGGATGTCTCTCTGTCTCTCCCTCTCCCTTCCTCTCTCTTACACCTCTCACATGGATGTCTCTCTGTCTCTCCCTCTCCCTTCCTCTCTCTGTAAAAAGCAATAAAAAAAAATCTTACTTTAAAAAATGCCTCTAGATGCCCTCTGGGGAACAAAATTATCTCCAGTTGAGAACCAATGATCTAATTTAAAATATTGGTTTCCTGCCCTAGTTGGTTTGGCTCATGGATAGAGCATCAGCCTGCGGACTGAAAGGTCCAGGGTTTGATTCCAGTCAAGGGCACCTGCCCAGGTTGAGGGCTCAATCCCGAGTAGGGGGTGTGCAGGAGGCAGCTGATCAATGATTCTCTCTCATCATTGATGTTTCTGTGTCTGTCTCCCTCTCCCTTCCTCTCAGATATCAATAAAAATGAATTAAACACACACACACACACACACACACACACACACATATATGTTTCCTAGTATGCAGGCACTGCTTGTTGGTGGATCTCACCATTATCTCCATCATCCTTTTCCCATGCCACTGCAATACCTAATTACTCCTTTCCTAAGCCTCTCATAAGGCTGGCCTTAAGAAGTTCTACTAATGAGATGTAAGCAGAAGTGCACTGGGAGGGTTCTGGGGAAATTATGCCTTCCTGATAAAAGAAAAGATATTAATGGCTTCCTTCCTTCTTCCATCCTTTATGCTAATCATAAACACATTGGGTGGGGCCCAGCAGCATCTTGCTACCATAAAGCAACAAGCCTGGAGGGAAAGCCAAGAGAATCACAAAGACACCAGCCTTGATGTCATTTTGCTGGTGAACCAATACTAGAAATCTATTACCTCTGACACGAAGACCTCCTTTTTTTCAAAACACTGTATGTTGGGCTGTTACTTGCAGCCAAAAGCTTTCCCAACTGATACACATGGCACACACAGAACTTCCACTTAGAGAGGTCTGGGTAAGGACTCAAGTCCCAGACAGGACACTGTCAGAGCTGCATCTGATGCTCCACAGGAGGCCCAGGACTCCAACCAACAGAGACACGGCCACCTGTCATGATGCACCTCACACAGAATGCAGCTTTTGCAAAGGAGGCTCCGAGTCAGAGTTCCAAGAGCAGATGCTCCACATCGCAGGTCCTGAACTGCCACCAACTGCTTCCTCCCTGGGCAACTCCACTCGGGCTTCTCCAGGGAGCACCAGCAGGGCATCCCCTCAGAGGTGGTCAGCGATTCATCTGAGTCATCCCAGGGCCACCCGATGGATAACAACTGTGACCTTGCTGAGCACTTCCTGCATACCAGGCACTCGACTGAGTACTCTGCATGCATTATGTCACAATTTTCACCACCACCCTGCAAGCCAGGTATTAGATCCCCATACCAGAGATGGGGAAACTGGAGCTCAGAGAGGACAACAACTGTGTGCATTGGCTCATTCAGTGTTTATTAAACTTCAACTGTGCGCCCGGCAATATTCTAAGGGCTGGGGACACAGGAGTTAAGTGCTATAAAAGAGCCATTTTCTCATGGAGCAAAAATTCTATTAGGAAGAAACAAATAGGACCTAAGTAAAGACATAAATGAGATGATGTTAGAGAGTCCTACCAGGAAGAAAAACCAAATGTGCTGATGAGACAGGGAGGAAGCAAGAGGGCCATGTCAGCCACGGCAGTCACTTCCACTTAGAGAGGTCTGGGCAAGGACTCAAGTCCCAGACAGGACACTGTCAGAGCTGCATCTGATGCTCCACAGGAGGCCCAGGACTCCAACCAACAGAGACACAGCCACCTGTCATGATGCACCTCACACAGAATGCAGCTGTTGCAAAGGAGGCTCCGAGTCAGAGCTCCAAGAGCAGATGCTCCACATCACAGGTCCTGAACTGCCACCAACTGCTTCCTCCCTGGGCAACTCCACTCGGGCTTCTCCAGGGAGCACCAGCAGGGCATCCCCTCAGAGGTGGTCAGCGATTCATCTGAGTCATCCCAGGGCCACCCGATGGATAACAACTGTGACCTTGCTGAGCACTTCCTGCATACCAGGCACTCGACTGAGTACTCTGCATGCATTATGTCACAATTTTCACCACCACCCTGCAAGCCAGGTATTAGATCCCCATACCAGAGATGGGGAAACTGGAGCTCAGAGAGGACAACAACTGTGTGCATTGGCTCATTCAGTGTTTATTTAACTTCAACTGTGTGCCCAGCAATATTCTAAGGCCTGGGGACACAGGAGTTAAGTGCTATAAAAGAGCCATTTTCTCATGGAGCAAAAATTCTATTAGGAAGAAACAAATAGGACCTAAGTAAAGACATAAATGAGATGATGTTAGAGAGTCCTACCAGGAAGAAAAACCAAATGTGCTGATGAGACAGGGAGCAAGCAAGAGGACCATGTCAGCCACGGCAGTCACGGGAGGCCTCTCTGCCCAGGTGACATTGAGCAAGAAGAGGAGCAGCCATGGAAAGGTATGGGCAACCAGGGTTCCAGGCAGAGCAAACAGCCAAGGTAGAGCCCAGAAGGCAGGAACACACTTGGCTTCTGGCTTCTGGCTTTCCAGGCCCAGAAGGAAGTCTTCTGTAATGTGAGCAAAAGGCAAAAAAGGGGAAGTAAAAAGCATACAGGCAGGCAGGGGCCAATCACAAAGGGTCTCGTGGACCATGGTAACCGGTTCAGTTTTTGTTCAAATTTGAATACTAACTGGTGGAACTGTGACCTTGACTCAAGACCGTGCCCCTCAAACGCCTGAGTTAGAACTCCCACCACACAGGCCCGGAGATAAAAACAGTCATAGGTACTCTGCGGACACAGTAATACAGCTGATCCCCAAATGTTGCCACTGTTATTTTGCTGGAAGAGGTTTTGGGAAAGGACAGCCTACACATCGTTCCCACCAGACAAGAGGCCATCCTGAAATGTCACTCATGACGGAGACCCCACCCGCCCAAGGCCCTGGAACATCTCCCCTGACACCTGTGTCCATCAGTAAGTCCTGCTCTTTGTTCAGCAGGTTTAGTTTCTATTCTTCTCGAACACCAGAATAGGGAAGTCAGGCTTGCTTTCTTCCTTTTCCCAAGTACTGCACCCAACAACCCCACTTGCCCTTGGACAATGCCAGCTGGAAACCTGACAAGGCCCCCGCCCCCCCCCACCCCCGCCAAC